GTCGTTGTTCCCTCATATTTATTAACACGCAACTGGACTATGCAATGTTCGACAGGAGGCGGACACTGATAGAGCATCTGGACCTATTGATTCGCGTAAACCGAGCCTATATAACATTTCTGCCTCATCCGTGGATTCCGATTCCCCTAGAATCGGTTTACTGTTCAGTCGTTGTATAGGGCTCTCTGGTGATCGAAAATTGCCAGCGTTGAACAGGGGTTATACCCCTTATAGCCCAAATTACCTTAACTGTAACGGGAGCACCCTCCTTAAATGGAAGGTCCACCGATCCAGATCTTACCACCATCAGCAAATAGGAGCTATTACCCCTCATGTCAATAATTACCATTTGTGAATAGGGACTAATTCCAGATATGTAGTGTGGTCTCTGCACGGCACGATCCTTTCAAGATCTCGGGCCAATGGCACTGTCAGGCATCCCCCGGCTGTGTGTGGAATTGCGCCGATGGCAAGTACCCTGCTGCCTACGGCACAAGATTGGTAAGTTACATATGAGGCATAGTATTAGTACTGGCAGCATTGAGGCCTCAGCCTGACGACGTGCATCTCAGCTACAGTATGCATGTGCACTGACTCAGTGACTCGATAGTAATGCTACCCGAGTGTAGTACTGAAGTAAATAGTGTATTGTGTATTGAAATAACTGTACTTGACACTGAGTATAGGATGATTGAAGGTTCTAGCCACACACAGTTATGTTTGAGAGTTACAAACTCATATGATTTAGTATCACTGAGATCAACATATAATAACTAGGAGTATTCTTGATGCCGCGCAGTGCCCGGGAGGCTAGAAAGACTATTTACCTACTTGTAGAACCCTTGCCACTCGTTTACCTTACGAGGAATCGGACCTGGCGTGCCGCGCAGCGCCGAATACTTCCCAAGTGGAAGATACTTATAATGTGGCATGTGGGCAGGCTCCCTGCATACTTCAGGGGGAGCTTATTTATCTGAGGTCAAGTTGATAATTTTTTCCGAAGGGATTGAGCAGTCTGTCCTGATATTTCTGTCACAGTGGTGTTATTCCTATTATATATATTGTGCTATGATAGACTCATGTGTCATGAGCCATGAAATTGGGGGAGAAGGTTAGGCTACACAGGGGAGAGTCAGCCCACGGAGGGTCAGCTCATGCAGGGGAGAAGAGTTTTAGCCCACACAAGGGAGAAGGGTTTTAGGCCATGCAGGAGAGGAGGATATGGTGGGGAGGGTGTTAGGCCATGCAGGGGGACTGTTCAGATTTGTATGCACATCCTTGGGTGTGCCCTGGAATTATCCATTATGGTAATTGATAGTTGTCTGAGTCTCAGTATATTCCACTTGCTTCATACTGCTTATCTCTATTTGAGCTCTTAAAATTTCCCATCATGTAGACAGAAGAGCTGTATGAGCCTATGAGGTGACACATCAGGGAGATCTGGTATTTCCTCCTTTCTGTAATCATATCTCACACTACATGTTTTTCCAATATTGCATATTTGATTCTCATTATAGTCTATTCAACTCTATGTATCCTGACTCACCCACATACAGTAGCTGAATCCTATTATTCAATGTGAGGAGCTGACCATCGCGAAGGTGTGATTCCTACGGCATAAGGAAAGCACCAGTCAGTGGGTTGAGGCGGGAGGCAACGCCACCGGGAACGCCCGAGCAATGCACGTGGCGGCAGCAGCGCCACCGAGCCTGTATGTAACCCTACGCTAGGGTTGACAAGCCATTGAGTGGCGTGGGAGATCCTTTACGCATTTCGAGACCGCTAAGTATACTATCATTGGGGGGGTTCTGTAAAAACTTGACAATATGACCGGCCACGGGCTACCTTCTTCATCATTCCCTGTTATTTCACTCAGGCATCATAGTATACCTTCCTAAGTACCATCTGCAAAAAGAATGATCTCGATTCACTATGTACAGAGTAATACAGAGAGATGCCGCACACAGACAGCACTTGCGGGGAGTAATGTAAAAACGTCACGCGCGGGTAACACTATCCGATCCGCGCGCGTCTGTCACGCATCTGTCACGCCCTTGGGCCCTTGGAGTTCTGTAAAATCTACCATACGAGCACTTCACAAGCCTGCAGCTATTATCGGGTGGGCGCAGGAGGTTTACACATACAAGAAACACCTCCTCTAGGCAAGCCGATATATGCCGGGGCCGTGTAGGCTGGCAGATCTACCCATCAAGTGGCCATCAGACCTGTTCCAGTGGGCATTTTGGACGGTGTTCAACCTCCCATACGACAAGGGGCCAACTTGAGGCAATTTTGACTTCACAGACCATCTGTATGGTATACAATGCATATACGTACCAACCTGCTAAGCTCCCTGTAGCATACTTCTCGAGATTTCGGAGTTCTGTAAAAAATCTAACTTTTACAGAACCCCCCCAATGATAGTACCGACAAAGGGGGAGCCCAATTAATCATATCCAAATACGGACTCCATGCTTCCATTCCCGTCAGCTTTCACACAAGTCACCGAAGACCTCAAGGCGCTTCGATATCCGTTTCCCTTTTTGTTATCTCACTTCTGTGATTATATACTGTACGTTCGTCGTTCGACTTATAAGTCGACCACACCGCGCCTTTGCAGACTATTGCTCTTTCCCCCTTCTCTCACAAGCCCATCGCTGCTCTCCTTCTGCTGCCATGCCGGAGTGAGTATTGGCCGCGCCAACGGGCTTCCATCCCGCATTACACGCCGTGCGGTCCTGTGTAGCTTGTAAGCATTGCTATTTCCATCTTGGAGTCGATCGGTGGGGGTGTGAATGCGGGGTATCATCGTACCACTCTACTGGATATGTCGGAGACTGCCCAGTATCATAGTATGTCTGCTTGCTATCTCACTGGGTCTGACACTCCTCACTCTAGAATTCTTCGAAATTCGGCGAAATATCCTTGCTTCGGACAGTTTGGGCATTTTGAGCGGTTTCGCTATCTGCCACGCCGGCTTGATTTTCGCCTTCGTTCCGGGCGCTCTCACAAGAACACCTTGTCCCCTTCCTTTTTCTCCACCACAGAGCCTCATATCGAAGCAGACGAGCCGCCTACCGCCCGCACTCCAAACCAAGGGAAACAAATCCTCGCATGCTCCGCGCAGGCAAACAGCCCTTGTCCGTGACGTAACCTGGGAATAGTGGTCTCGCTTGCACCGCCACCAAGTCTCCTGGACCGCGTCAATGGGGCGACCCTGAACATGACGAAGGTACTCCACCACGCTCGTTCAGCGTTATAAACTCTCGGTGGCGACGATGCCTGCCATCGTCTCCCCCTGCCTCTGCACGACCTTTGTCACGTACCCTTCCGTTTTTGTTTCCTTGACAAAAACATAACATATCCAAGATGCCGCCCTACGTGTTCGGACTCGACCTCGCCAAGATCAGGTTCTCCGCGTTCAAGTCGTCGAACATGTTCAACGGCCTGAGCTACCTGCGGAGCGAGCGATTTATCGTGTACCAGCTCGCGATGATCATCGTCGTGTGTGCAGAGTCGACAGCGACGTACGCGATGTCCAGGTACGTGGAGTCCGTCAGTGAGATCTCGAAGACAATATCTTGACGCAGTTGCGCTCGGCTAGATACCTGGACATGCAAGAATCGCTGCAAAGCACATACCCGGGCTCGTACATGTACAACAATGACATCGTCGGCGCCGCTTCGCTCACGATCTTCGCTGGCGTCTGGACTGCAATCGTCTACGGCACGCTCTTCTTCTTCCTCCTCTTCTGGCCCGACTCGCGCGAGACGCCGTTCTGGGCAATGGTCAAGAAGGCCTCTGCGATATTCTGCACGCTCGTCGTCCTGGCCTCGTGCATCTGGTCGACAATTGTTGTTACGACCAAGTCGGCGTGGATAAGCGGCGTGCCCAGTCAGCTGGGGAAGACGGTGCAGCCGAATGTGCCGTTGAGTGAGTTCTCCCTTATTTCTGCTATCTTCCATGTTCTGACTCTCGTCCTCTGCAGTGTACTCCCACTACGCACACAATATTGCATGGATAGTGCTCCTCTGGCTTGGCTGGATCTTCGTCGTCGCGAGGTACGTGTTTCTCCTTCATTTGTCAACCTGTATTCGCTAACGCTTAGCATCATCAGTAACGTCCTCGTATTCATTGCCTCACGGCATCACATTCGAAGTGACTCGGACAACATATCCTCGTCTGAGCGCGCGCTGAAGGAACAGAACGGCAGCGGGCGGTACTAAATCCGCGGTCGATTTGCCTAGTCTTCCATGTGTCGCGCGGTGCCCAGTGCGCGCATCTTCCTCTCTCTTTGTCATCCTCCGACTCCCACCACCTTCCATCGACCGACGCGCGCGTACACGCCAGCTGCCGTCAGTCGAGCCACCATTTTACGCCGCAAAACTATTGCACTCCTTACGCTTTACGACCCTCACCACTAACATTGCCCCCCCCCCTCGCCCCATCCTGGAATCTAGATACGCACTCTTGACGACCCCACCATTGACCATTGAGCCTTGCTGTAGCGATAACGGACGTCTGTTACTGTTTAAACATCATATTGTGGAGTAGCTTTCTGTAGCTAATGTATATGCCAATTGATAGAATACCTACGTCAGAATAATACTGATATATACCCATGTGGGTTTTGGAGCATCTCGCGGTATCGTATGGCGGGCCTGGTCAATAATGCGATGTTCTCTGCAAGTGCGAACAGATGCGCGTGCCGACGCACGTCTCGAGTTTACACGCAGGACAAGGCTAGGACAGCCAGGCAACAGCAGTAAAGTATCACTATAATATAGTAGCAAACAGACATCACTGTGGATTCGAAGCCCTGCTCAATCACTGTCGCTGTCGATCTCGACCTAGAAACCCGTCGTTAGCTGAAGGGCATCTTCCGTCTCAACGAAGACCTACCACTTGAGCAGTCTTTGCTCTCGACCGAGACGCTGCCGCCCTCGAGGTCCGCGCAGCGCCCGACGGCGCGAAGCTTAGTGTTGATTGTTTATTGGCAGTCGTCTTGGTCGTCGCCTTTTTTGCTGCTGGCTTCTTGGCGGCTGTGGCTTGACTATTTTTGTGCGTACGTCAGGTATGGTTCAGAACGAGAATTATAATGCGAGCCAGATGGGAGTCAGAAAGAACACACCTCAACACTGCTGCTCTGTTTGTCCGCTTGGTCGGTTTGGAGAACTCTTCGTCGTCGTCTATTACTTCGTCGTCATCCTCGTCGTCCGAGGGGACCTACACCAAATGATGTTGAGTCTGGCATAGATGATTGCGGAAAGGACACCACACGCACGGCAGCCTTCTTCCCTCTACCTCTCACAGGCGCTTTCTTGGCTGCCGCGGCCGTCTTCTTCGGCGCGGCTGCCTTCTTCTTGGGTCGTGGAGGCGCGTCGGAGTCGTCCAGAGCCTCGAAATCGGACCCGCCGCCCGCGTCTACATCCATCATCATGGAGTCGACGGAGGCATCCGAGTCCTCTGCGGTGGCCTTGCCTTTACCCTGAGGGGATTACATGAGTCTCGACAACGGCTGGAGGGGTGAAAGGTGGGTTTGTACCTTCGTTTTCGAAGGTGCTTGTCGTTCCTGTTCAGCATGCTCCTTCTCCTGCTGTTCCTTAGCCTTGGCGAGCTGGTAGGGTATGTGCGTGAAACCGGAGACAGAATATTACACAGATCCGACTTACCGCTTCCTCTAGCTCTTCCTCTTCCATATCCCCGTTCGCCTGGACGTCCTTGAGCAGCAACTTCAATGTCCTCTTTACATGCCTGGCGGGAGACGCTTCAGCTACAGTAGACAAGGAGCAACAGACACTCACGATTCGATCGCATGCGGATCGTCCTTATCCACAAACACCTGTATGGCATCGCTCATCCCGCCCTCCGCAAGTAGCTGCAGCTCCTGCGCCGCAAGGTACTCCTGCACGAGCGTCTGAACGCGCACCTTGCTGAGCTTCTCCGAGATGGACAGCTCAGGGTCGTCGATGCTCAGCTCCGGCTGGTCGATGCTGACTTTGCTGCGGCCCGCGGTCTTCTTGGCGCGGTGAAAGGTGAGCACATCCCGCGGGTTCGCGATGCGCCCTGAGAATTCTTGACCGAAGCGGATGGGGTTGGACATTTCCGGAACGCCTGTTGTGTCTACCTAACGAGAGTTGTTGTAGTCGCGCAATGCAATTCTTGAGTGAAGGAACGTTACCTTCAGCCGGACCAAGGGCAGCATCCTCGGGAGCTCGTCTTCCCCTTCTTCCACGGCTCTTGAATTGCGCTCATCCCAGAGAGTATTGGCTTGGTCAATAAGGGCGTTGACCTGCACTCGCAAGAGTTAGAGGCTGCCGACAGGACCGAGGAAGGGTATGTAATTACTCTTGACTTCAGATATTTTGTGATCTCCATTTGGTCAGTTAAGTCGAAACCGCCAGTCTCCGCCTCTTCACTGAGCACGACCTCGTCCAGGACGAAAGGCCGCACTGTCCGCAGAGGTATCGGAGTCAATTGAAACTCTTTGCCCTGGATTTGGAGCAGGGCAACGTGTCTGTATAGCCAACAAAGTCAACCTGAGCCCAATGAAAGACTAAATTTTTAGGTTTACTTCTCTAATGACTCCCCATCGGCCAAGGAGGTTGCGACGGAGGAGCCTGGCTGACATATGTAATACTTCTTACCCGGGACAGGCTCCGGGACGATGCGACAGTCGTGTTCATGTCCCCATATCACGAGATCTATGCTATCGTCAAACATGCCTTCGGGCACGAATTCTTGAGGACCATGTTTTACTCTAGCTTTCATTCAGATCAGAAGGTAGCCTCATATACAGTGCTTACCGGTTTTGGTGGATGATGAGAATGTTGAACCAGTTATCCTTGTCTCTAGGCATGAACATTCTGACCCGATTACTCCGCAACTCAAAGTGCATTCGTTGGTCTTTGACATTACCCACGCCGTACATACCCAGCTTGGTGGTGCCCTTTCTCAGAAGGACTGGTTTTATTGCGATACCAGTATTTTGGGCTTCCTTGTCATTGAGGGGCAAATCGAACTTGCCCATGTAATTAACCAAGCCCGCGGCTGAGAGGAGGTCGAGCGCACATAGTGCGCCTTCCTGAACGCGGTTTAGATGAGAACTAGCTGGATCAGTATATCACTTACAGGACCAGCGCCCTGAGGGTCATCATGGTTTCCATGGATCGAAAATACTGGTATAGCGACGTTGAAGTTGGGGTCCTCGTAGTTTATCGCCGGAAACCTGCCTCGGCCGTCAGAACGGGACTATTGGCACAGGAACTTCATTCACACACGGGAATCCAGGTGGTTTACCGTCATCAGGGTCACTCAACAGTTCTATTTGTATCGGCTTGTCGCCTAATGTGTATTCACGCAAAAGTGCCATGACTTGGAACAATGTATCTCGTGATGGGCGGTTTTCATGAAAGAGGTCGCCTCCGAGAAGGATCAGGTCGACCTAGTTCATGCGATGTCATGTAGGATGATTGAGGTCGTGCCCGTTAAACTAGACAGACAGAACCTACGTCGTGCTTGACGGCCAGCTGCAGGATCTCCTTGAACGTGTTGATAGAATCCTGGCCTCGTATTGGATCTCTCTCATTGTACCCAATGTGATTATCAGTTGCTAGAAGTATCTTAATAGTCTCCTCCTCCACTACGTAGAAGGGAGGATATCAGAGACAAACGACATGTTCTGTCGAAGGGTGGACTGACCAGGAACCCGCATCTCAGGGGATATGTCCTGGTGGTCCTCGTTGCCTCCATGTTCGCTCATTGCGACGTCTTAGTGCGGCAATAATTCCCTCACGTTGCGGAATATTGGTGGAGAGCAGCACGCAGGCAAGAGAGAAGGCAAGCGGCAGTGGCGTTGGACAGAACTCGACGCGTCGCGTCGCGTGTCGTCGGTAAATGTGTGGCCTGGGATAACATTTGTCAGCATTGACCACCTGCCTAATTAGGCTAATAGTTTGGCCAAGCTTGCCACAGTTCAAGCCACATCCCTTCGCCACAACCCGTCGCGTACTAGTGCTTCAGCAACCACGCAACCAACCTCAAAAAGGGAGAAATGTACACTTCAGGCGCTGGACTATCGGATTTCCATCAGATGGAGCACGTATTGGAGGAGCTATCGCGGGACTCGGACAACAATAGCAAGGAGCACGCGGTCAGTGGTGGGGAAGGTCGTTCATCCCGTGATTCATGGGGATTTTCAACCTGGCGTGGAACTTTATCTGCTTTCTCCAAGAGCTTTGAGCTAAGGGTGGGACTGGAGATCTCCTCCCTTGAAGACATGTAAGTTGCACCTCCGTAGAGGAGTGTGGTGAACACTGAACGCGCGGTGGCAGAATGCCTGAATCTTGGCCAAGGGAACTAAAACTTGTGCCTAGGAACTATCCCGCTGGGCAGATCATGACAGAATACCTTCAGACTCTCGGCGTCTCCGTCTGCCTCGTCCGCCCGCCCAAGCCGGAGACGAGTCAAATGCAACAATTCCGGACATTCATGGAACTGTTGCGAGCGCGAAATAAGGTAAGCCAACGATTGGAACCTTCTATATCACACACCAAAAATGTTTCCATGTGCATGCAGTATGTTCTTAGTACATGGCCATCCCCTGAGCTCAATATCGACCAATTCAACCTCTTGATCTATGCACTACCAAACGGGAAATTACGGGGCGCATTCTTCATAACTCAGTCCAAGCACGACACGGACCAGGGGCAGTCACTTATGCCACGGATAACCGCCTTTGATCATGATGTGCAGCAATTGCAGAATATATCACATACACATCCTGATGATATTGCGCGGCTTATGTGTGCTTTAGTTGTGGGGGAGCCGGGGCAAGAGAATAACTAACCCTTTGATATTTTCATCCGCTTATGTTGTAACTGTCTCATAACTCCCATCTGTACCATGAACTTGTCTATATTTTCCTGCGCCTTCCAACCTGTAACAGAGATCACTAGCTTTCCCACGTATTATCGCATCTGTCGTATGATAAGTAACCGTCGACATGACCGTAGAAGTATATACGTAGTATCCGGCTGTTGACGATACGAGGCATCGTGACAGGTGTGCGAACAGAGGAGTCAGACCTGAGCCAGCTTGGGAGCTAGGATTGGAGTGCTTCCAGACGAGAGACTAAGCCAGGCGTGAGTTACGATGCATTCGGCATTCTTGTATCAGCTTTTGAACTTCAAGCTTGAGGTTAGGCATCAGACCAAAGGTAGATCCACTGAAATATTGGCAAGGACTCGAGCGAGCTGGAAGCCTTTCCAATACACAAGCGGAATTGAGATCCATCCACAGTTGCACGTCATGAGATGATTACGCGCAGTGAATAGTTTTCCATGTCATCATGGCCACTCCGAGTCACGAAGGAAGATGAAAGGGCCCAAGATACTGCATCAGTAACTAGTGGACTGGCCGCAGTATTCGCTTGGCTGTGGGGAAATGATTCGCCGTGGTCTCCGAGGCTGTGGCAGAGTTGTGACCGCAAATGTCCGTCTGTGGCTCTCTGAGATCCAATTACGACTCCATCACAGTTCATTACACTACTTGTTTGCGCTGCATTTTCTGCTCGACGACCCCCACTGTCCATACTCAGAGACGAACGTACGCAGCACGGAGTACTACCAGCGTAAGCACAAGGAAATTCATATACCCTGGACAACAGCTTGTGAGCTGTGGCTTTCTTTGAATGCGCGGAGAGTGTCGAGTCGCTTTCTTCGTATTCTGCTATGTACAGTGGACCACTCGAACCTACCAGTGCCTCGTCTGGTGAGTTTTCGCCGAGATGATACATTGGACCCCATGACGTATGCGTGATACAGGTGACTTGACCGGGTTGCGATATTCAATGCGCTAACCAGGTCATTAGGGTCGCAGCGAAAATTAATCGAGCGACGCCAAGAATCCTGGACTGTGCCACCGGTTAGTAGTCCTTCACATTATGGTTATATTGCCGTGGTTCAATCAATACTCAGTTTTGATGAAGGTCGATTGCTCCACTGAGGGCCAGCTTAAAGGTGAAAAGTATCTCCTGCCCTACGGCACGCCACTCGGGTTGGACTGCGCTTCAGCGATGTCGACAGGTATAAGAGGGTCGTATAAATGCGTAACAGACCCCAAGACACTAGCTCTTACAGTACAGTTCGAATTGCACTGTTTACGCCGCCATGTTCAGCCGACTCGCCGTCTTCACTGTGGCATTTATTGCGTTCTTCTCCCATGCCGTCGTGGCCACCTGGAACGACGGTATCGGTGATATAGCCGACGGGTACTTCTCCGTTATCGGACGTTGGAACCACGTCGAGTGCGTTATACTCTCCCTCGTCATTAACTATCTGTTTCTTACACTTGCATTAGCGTCGGTTTCCCCGGTGGGGATTCTGAGGGTGGAAGCGTGGAGATCCACGGCCAGGACCAGACCACTGTCCAGAGCGGCGTCAACTGCCCTGGCACCACCGACATTACCTCCTTTCTGCCCTATGTGGTCACCGTTGATATAACGCTGAGCAACTGGTGTGACGAGGAGAACAATGACGGGGTGGCGTTTAATTACGCGAACCAGCACGTCGATATTCCGTCGGACAGCAGGTGCAGCGGCATTTCCTGCGACGGATTCGATCAGTTCAACTGTTGGAGGTGTATTATTGCTATAAATCCCTAAATTGCAAGCCAAGTGAGTGAGTCCTCTGGCTGGTTTCTACCCTACCTTCCTTACAAGATGTCAGATATACAGTCCACTTCGTCCCATCACTGAAGGGTCAACTTTTTTCCTTCAGCTATTATGTATCTCTGTAGCGGATAGTTGTGGTCTTGCTGATAGTCTTGCGATTGTTTTATCCCTGTCGTGCCTTCAAATGTTAGCAGTCAGTGATACTGATACTCCGTCGGGAGACAGCGGTCGGTTCAAGGCACCGTCCCATAACCCGCACTTGATACCCTCTGGAAATAGTCAACCAGGGTAAGAATACTACCCAGACTGCATGACCTGCGTGCAGGAACTGGATCACGGATTGAAGAGGGCGACATGGCCAGATATAGACAAACCTTTACCTAGAATGGAAGCACCACTACCTAATTCGGCTTACATGTCGATCTCAAATACTCAGCGTTATACTGCTCGTAACGTATATAAAAAGAGCCTCTTTTCTGTCCTTGTCGTTGTCTTCTTCCCTTATCGTCCCCCTACTGCCAAGTACGGCGACATACCAGATACACGCGCCTATGCTCGACGTCGCAGCCCGCAGGTCGGTTATTTATCAGTGCTCTGAGATCGCACAGCCGAATAATTGGACGCTGAACGGCTCTACTTGGACCTCGTATTGGACTCAGCAAATAACTGTAGTCGTCGTTCAACGTTTATGGTCGACCGTGGCATAGAGGTTCTCAGGGTCCCAGGGCACGCAAATAGCCCTGAAGTCCGCTGAACGCGCTTACACTTCCTCCTCTCCGTTCTTTGCTAGGCTGCCGGGACTGCGCACACCGCCTCCAAGCGTGCGGTAGTCAGGTTTTCCAAACCCTCTATTACTGTCGTTTCTTGGTCTTTGTCCTCGGGCATCCATAGTAATTCCACTTCCCCGGCCGCCCGTAATCAACTCTTCCCATGGCTGTAAAAGATGGAGAAGGACATTCCAGAGCAGCTGTCGTATGCATTCGTCTCTTCTTAAGTGCGTTAACAAAGATTGACTTAAACCCCAGACCGGCACGGTGCTGTTCTATCTGGTAGCTGCACTAGCTGTACGTCGCCCGTCATCGTACCTGGCGCGCATATATTGACAATCGGCTATCATGTGCAGATGGTCATGGCGTATGTTCTTATTCACGAATGTTCACTTCGGTCCGCTGACTGAAGAAAGCGCAGGAATAAATGGGTATTGAGCAGTACCGAAGTTCCCCTGTTCTTCCTCTTCACCCAGCTGGTCATAGCCGTCATTCTCTTCCTTATATCGCACGCGGCTGGTCTGGTCAAGGTGAATATGGACTTTAGCATGCCGCGTCTGCAGGCACTAGCACCATTAGTTGGCTTGAATGTCATCGGTTTGAGGTTCGTCGACATGTTTCCGACTGCGAGATAGTCTGGATCTCACGCATACCCGCCCCTGGGAATACAGCTTTAGCAATTTCACCCTCAAATACGTTGATGCCTCCTTCTACCAAGTCGCTCGCGGGCTCGTACTACCCTTCACTTGCCTGACTTCCTTCGTCTTTCTCCACTCGCGCCCATCCCTGCGCATCCTCCTCGCGTGCGGGGTTGTCACCCTCGGCTTCTTCATCGGCGTCTTCCTCGATGGGACGCCCGTCTCCTTCATCGGCGTCTCCTTCGGTGTTGTGAGCTCCGCAGTGACTGCAACCCACTCGGTCGTCATCAAGCGCACGCTGGATGTGGTCAAGGGAAGCGCGCTTGATCTATCATGGTACGGCAACTCTCTCAGCGCGATTGCGTTGGTACCAGTTATCATACTCGCCGGCGAGGTGCCGGGCGTGATGAAGCTGCTCTTTGGTCCCCCGGAAGTTACGCCAGTTGGTACAATGACTCCGCTCGCGACGTTCCTGTGGGGCTCCGCCATTACGGTGCGTACGATTGCGGCTGCGCTCTGTTCAAAGTCCTGATGTAACCCCAGGGTGTATTTGGCTTCCTGATGAGCATTGCAAGCTTGCTGTCCATCAAGGTTACGTCGCCCATTACGCATATGGTCTCGTCCGCGGTTCGGGGCGTCCTCGCTACGATGCTCGGAGCCTGGCTATTCCACGAGATTGTCACCACGTATGTAGCCTGACCATCTGCGTTATGTTGGGATTACCTGACATTGCATCACAGCGGCCGTGTTGCGTCGATAGCCACTATTCTCGGTGGCTCGATCTGGTATACTTGGATCAAGCATGTAGAGTCGCAACAAGCGCGGCCAGACCCCTCGAAGGGGCCTTACGAGAGAGTGCCCATGGAGGAGGTGGAGGCCGGCAGGGCGAATTCGCCTCATGCAAAGCCCGAATAGCCAGGCCATCGAGGGGTATCAGTGGACTCGTCTCAGTACCAGAAAATGATAAGCTTGCCGTCTGGTAGATAGAGGGATACTCTGGGCAACTATAGCATAGGATATCCTGGACAGCGTAAATGACTGCAGTGTCTTTATAGAGCGTATAATGATAATATCCAATATCAAGGAAAGCTACAAAGCGGACACGGACCCCTGCTCCCGTGCACTGTCCCGGAGAACATGTAGACTACATTCTTGGTGACCTTCTCCAATCATACAACAATCCTGGACGTTATGATACAGCAAACATTATAATCATGGGAGCGGGGCCGTGACAGCGGACGCCCTGCCCGCCCGCTCAAGGGCCCCGTCGACGAGTTCGTATGCGGGCCTGTACCGCACTTGTGCCGCGCCATTGGCCAACGTCGCGGGAGCATCGTCTGCAAGGCCGTTGACTACGGGTCCGTCACCGCAGCCGCAGCCTGTGCCGTCCGGGAAGCACGTCGCGCTCGGGTCGACGGAGAGCGTGACGAGGCCGCCATCGACGACGGGCGAGTCGGGGAAGCAGGTGGTCGCGGAGTCGGAGGCGAGCGTGACGAGCGCGGTGTGTTCGGGCAGCGCGCGAGGGGGGAGGGTCTCAGACCCGTTGAGATTTGTGGAGGCGACGCCGCACGAGGGCTGGATGCGGAGCGCGGGGTTGGGGAAGGTGTTGTACGTCGAGCCGATGGACGTGTAGCCCTCGTCGTAGAGCGAGCAGTACGGCACTTTGAGCGCGCGCAGGAAGACCCAGACGTCGTTGTAGGACCAGTTGATGATCGGGTGCACGCGCTCGAAGCTGGGCCAGCCTGGGTCGCAGGGGTTGCGGTATTGGAGCGTCGCTGCAGGAGGTGTTAGCCTCTAGTAGGCGAGACAAGGCACCGTACGTACCTCCGTGCGGGTCGCCCTTCCTCGTGCCCACCAAGATAGCCTCGATGTAGGGAAAGCGGTCCTTGTATAGCTGTAGCGCGTGCCGCATGCCCTCCCCGCCCTTCTGCCGCTGCACGGGGTCGCCGCGCTCGACAGCGGGTGTGTTCGCCGCCGTCTTGGGCACGCTCTCCACGGGCTGCTCCGCCGGCGGCTCGCAGCGATACAGGTCAAGGCCGTAGGCGCGCGCGGTCTCGTCGATGAAGGCCTCGAGTGCGGAGAAGGGCGATGGAAGCGGGATGTAGACGGCGCGTATCCGCGAGGGCCGCGAGGATAGACGGCGGGCGAGCACGCCGACGTAGAGGTGGAGGAGTACCGTGCCTGTATCGCAACTGGTGTAAGGCGGACGTTATCTAGACCGCAGAAATTACTGCTCACAGTCCTTTCCGCCATTGAAACTTATGGATACATGGTCCTCACTTGCCGTTCGTATCAGCGAGGTCGTCCTGCAGTAAAGTAATAGAGCGCCGGGACGTACCCGTAATCGTCTAGCGTATCCTCGATCACCTTCAGGGCCTCCTTGACGCGGGGCGCGACGGCGCTCGACGACGCTGCAAGGTCGTACACTTCCTTCGCAATGTCTCTGCTCTGCATCGTCGTCGTCTTCGGCAGGGAAACGGACAGAAGACGACGCAGGATGGAGGGAAAGTGGAAGCCCAATCGGTGGCGCAGCGCCGAAGCCATAATTATCGCTGCTTCCGTTCCTGCCACCATCTGCCTCCTTTAATACCTGCAGCTGCGGTCATGGGCGACGTTATCCTCGTTACAGGCGGGACTGGTCTCGTCGGCAAGGGCATCCAGTACGTTATCGAGACCGAACCGGAGGGCAGCAGGTTCGGGAAGAAACCTGGCGAAAAGTGGATATTCGCGAGCTCGAGCGAGGCCGATCTCAGGTGTGTACGCACGGCAGGATTGTTGGGCGAGAGCGAGACGCAATTCCAGAGATGCAGCGCAGACGAAGAAATTATTTGAAAAGTACAAGCCGACGCATGTCATTCATCTCGCTGCCATCGGTGAGTGCGAAGGATAACACGGAGTGCAGGGGACTGATTGAGTGAATGCTACCCAGTCGGAGGCTTGTTCGCCAACATGAGGGCGAAGGTATGTAAGCGCATGTTGCCTGATCTCTACGCGTAATGAATAAACTGCCAGTCCACATTCCTCCGGGACAACCTGCTCATTAATGACAACGTCCTGCACACCTCGTACGAGACCAACGTCAAGAAAGTCATCTCGTGTCTCTCGACGTGTGTATACCCCGACAAGGTCACCTACCCGCTCGACGAGACCAAGATCCACCTCGGGCCCCCGCACGAGAGTAACTTTGGCTACGCGCATGCGAAGCGGCTGGTGGACGTGCAGAATCAGTGCGTAGCGTTTACGTAGATACGAGGATCGCTGCATTAATCCGTGTCGCAGCGCGTACAAGGAGCAGTATGGATGCAACTTTACGTCTGCCATCCCGACGAACGTCTTCGGTCCTTACGATAACTAGTACGTCCCTTGTCCATGATCCTGGCTGGTTTACCGACGCTCCTGCAGTGACCTCGAAGACGCGCACGTCATCCCCGCCCTGATCCACAAATGCTACCTTGCCAAGAGTGAGTGCTTCCTCGCTTTCCCACCAGTCCGTACACCGACTCCATTCGCAGAGAACAACAGGCCCTTCATCGTCGGCGGCTCTGGCAAGCCCCTCCGGCAGTTCATCTACTCGCGCGACCTCGCGAAGCAGTTCATCTGGATGCTGCGCGAGTACAACGACGTCGAGCCCGTTATCCTGTCCGGTCCGTGATCCGTTACTTTGGTCCTATCCAAGCTGCCTTACATGTGTATCTTCTATTCCAGTCGGCGAGAATGAGGAAGTCACGATCAAAGAAGTCGCCGACGCCATTGTCAAGGCCGTTGGGTTCCAAGGGGAATACAAAGTGCGCGGCCCCAAATCCCTGTATATTCGCATTTACTGAACAGCACCGCATACAGTTCGACCCAAGCAGGCCGGACGGGCAGTTCCGCAAGCCCGCGTCGAACGAGAAGCTGCTCAAGCTCATGGGCGGCTTCCAGTTCACGCCATTCGAGAAGGGTATGGCCGCTCGTACTTGCCAGAGCCTTGACTGACTTGGCTTTGTAGCGTTGGACGAAAGCGTCAAGTGGTTCTTGGACAATTACAACACGGCGCGGGTCGGGAAGAGGGCGGCGTCATAGGTTCAGGCCTCTTCATTTAGGATCGCTCACGCTCGTACAGTAGACATGACCATATGGATACCAAGGAACTACACCGTGCATTACGTGAGTGAGCCTCCGAATCAGAATTGCTCGCCTAGCTGGCCACAGGCGTTTCCAGCCCTGTCGATACAAACATTCCAGTTCTGGTTACATTTGTATATTCACTTGCGTCGCACACCAGCATTCCCTCGCGACTCCACCGCGAGGCACGCGTCGTACATCTCTTGGATACGCGCCTGGCCCTCCTCAGACCTGGCATCCACACCGCCGATATTGAGCAGTTGCTTCCGTAATCTCTTATGCTTGGTCGGGTCATTGATGCGAGCCAGAACGTCCTCGGGTATGCCAGGAGCTTCGAACGCTGTCGAATAGGTACGGTTGTTGCCGGCATCATGAGCAGAGGCGACGGCGACGAGAGGCGCAGAGCTAGTGGCGGGATTGGCACACATTGCTGCAGTACGTGTCTGTTGAGTGTTTGGGGTGCCGCCTCGTGCCATGGCCGCGAGATCAGCTACGGTTCCTAGGGACCGGCTGACAGGGCATGCAGTCGGAACGCCAGTCCCAGGGAGAGGCGCATCCATAGGAACTGGCGGGTAAGCCCCAGGAGCGCCGAGAGCTGGCGGGAGGGCGTGGTTGTCTGCGAAATACGAGCTCCGATCAGCACAATTGTGAAGGAGAGACTCTGCCGGGACGATAAGGTCGCGCATATACACACCGACGGCAGAGTCGATGGTCCCTGGAGCTGGCGGTTGTCCAGGCATCGTTTGAGAGCTGTGCAATAGACTTGGGGTTGGTGTTGTGCAGCCATCGCCTGAGGATCCTGGAAAGGCTGGACTCCAGTGCCAGTTGGCTGCTGCTGGAGCATGCTACTTTGCGGATTGCCCGCGGGGAAGAATTGTGGCACGAGGTGAGGAAACGCGATGCTCAACGCCTGCAGAAGGAGCTTCGCGAACTGCTGCTGCTGCTGAGGGGTTCCGACACCGTTGTCTGCCTGGTGGTTGGCGGTACTCTGGGGTATCGCACCCATTCCTTGAAAGCCTGCTTATGCGCAAGTAATCTCGGAAACCGACAGCAAAGGAGGAGAAAGCGACCATACCCTGCGGCGCCAGGCCCAATTCCGGAGAGACGAACTGCTGCTGGTGATGCAATCCGGCGCTGTTGCCGGCCTGGTTGCAGGGACCTTGCATCCAATGTTGCATAGGGAGCCATACGACCAGGGGTTGATACATGGGTCCGACCGATCCGTTATCAGCTAAAAAGTTATAAGTCTGGGTAAGCGGTTACTGGCGGGAAGGCGAACGTTGGAAACTGCCGTTGCCCATACTCGGCGTCATTCCTGGCCCATTTTAATTCATGGCGCCAGGGGGAATAAACTGTTGATGGGGCCCTGCGGCCACGGGGAAGCCTGAGAAGGGCGCCCCAGTTGCTGCTGGAGCGGAGGCGAGGGCGGCAGCAGTCGAGGACGTCGAGGGAGGCAGGACCAGCATCAGTAGGTTCTCCTCCAACGTCAGAAACAGCCGGGGACGAGTCGGACATGGTAGAGTGGGGACAAGGGGCTATGAGACTGACAACTTCCTAGCGCGTCCCTCTTATACTGGCGCATGGGGGATCGTCGCTGTCAGTGGCCGGGTTCTTGACGTATCGGGTAGTACCGATATAGCCTCGAAGACTGTTCACAGCGATACTGCCTTAGGCTTGATCCTGCGCCTCTTAAAAAAGACTTAGTAGACGAGCAACTGTCTTTAATGGAGGCTTGTACCCGTTTAGTATCAGCGTCGCAGAAGTCCCCCCCAGGCTCTCGCGCGTGCTCAAAAAGGCAGGATTCTCCGCCCAAAACGGCAGGTGCACATTGGTTGGCATCTGCCGGACCTCGGCACGTATATAGTCTCGACCTCTTCAACGCTTCCTCTACCCTACACCGAGGGTTATACTGCCTATAACGTACGCGCTGAATGCGCAAGAGCGCATAGAACCTCATGTACACAATTCCTTTAAAGTGGGGGGGTCGAGGCACTAAATGTGGCCCAGTAGAAGCCTTACTGGGATCAAAAATCACGCTGAGAGAACTGTAGCTTTTCAGACTGTCTCCTACTGCCAATGGGGAGTCCCAAAGCTCAGTAGCTCCTCCTGGTACATTATCTACAGGATAAATTACAACTACTAGGTTATAGTACTGCGAGCACAACAAGGAGTCAACAGCACGAAGTT